GGAGAGTGTGGTTAATATGAAACGTGATCATATGTGTCTGCCCCTTAGAAAGGCAGGTAATATTTCAGGAGAAGTTATCACCCACCTTCGTTTCCCGCTCCACCTTTCTGTTCTCATGGTCTCTGAGCCCGTCTGTACCACTGGCTTCTGTCCTCCCTGCTCTGTCCTTCCTTCCTCAGAGGTGGGGGAAGCATAAGTAAAAATCCTCTGGGTGTCTAGTTCCATATCCGTTTGCCTCTGTCTCTTCCAAATATTTATTGAAAACACCACTGTCTTTCTCAGCATGTTCCGCTGCTGCATGTGTGCAACAGCATGCCCGTTGCATGCAACATGTGTGCATATATGGGGGACTGGCCCCTTGGGGAGAACCTGACTCCATACTGGAGACAGAACCTGACTCCACGCCCGCGTTGTGTGTGCTCATGAGCTCTCTTGTCGCTTCTGTTCCTCCTGCACGTGTGTTCTTTCTAGTCATAAGTATCTTTGATCATAAGAAAAGTGTTCTCTTAGGTTAAAACCAGTATTCGAGCCCCTGCTGACTTTGTGGGTCCAGGTGACTGGTCCATAAAACAACAGAATGTTCTTACCCAGGTGTCTGCCCTCTGTGTTATACCTGACTGACAATGCCGTAGAATCAGTGCAGAGATGAAGTTTTTGGTGAAAGACACAACTTGGGCTGGTTCGGGAGGGTGGGAGATGAAACTAAATTCTTTTTTTTTTAATAAATTTATTTTTTATTGGTGTTCAATTTGCCAGCATACAGAATAACACCCAGTGCTCATCCCGTCAAGTGCCCCCCTCAGTGCCCGCCATCTAGTCACCCCCACCCCCTCCGCCCACCTCCCCTTCCACCACCTCTAGTTTGTTTCCCAGAGCTAGGAGTCTTTCATGTTCTGTCTCCCTTTCTGATATTTCCCACTCATTTTTTCTCCTTTCCCCTTTATTCCCTTTCACTATTTTTTATATTCCCCAAATGAATGAGACCATATAATGTTTGTCCTTCTCCGACTAATTCTGAACAGCAGGAAGTGCTGAGCTTCTTTGCTCATGCTAACATCTCTCCCACCCACCCACCCACCCACCCACCGACCCTTGTACTTTCACCATTCCAAAAAAAAAAAAAAAAGATATTGGTAGAACTTCAGGTGAATGAATGGCAAGGAGAAGCTTCTAGTAACAATATGTAGCAGAACTTGGTCATCTTTTGAAGGAGCTTAATGTACAGCAAGCTAGGTCTCCCCTGAAAAGGAGTAACATTAACCTTTATTGACCTGAACTTTTATTTTTTAACCCACCTTAGATTGAAGGGTCTTCTTCAGGTAGCAAATTAATCTATGCACACAGACTAATAAAGATATTACTTAGTGAGTTTCCATCATTGTGATGGCAAGAAAATGGGGAGCTGCCCTCTGAGATGTGCGGAAACTCCTCCGGAACTGGGAGAGTCGTGCTCAGTTTACTGGCAGCAGGTTATTGGTGGTCAGATTCAGGGAACAGCTCACCCCGCCCTGGAAAGGCCGGCACTTCCTATTTCCCTCTTTCACAGATCCCTCCTACCCTAGAACTTTAAGTGTTTCAACTCCTCTTCTGGACATCATTGTTTACTCCTCACTGTGTGACAACTGAATGGAGAGAAAATTTGTCATAAATTAATGGAATTGCAGAGAGAACCCTGTTGGGTTAGCTGACAGACTGCCAGGTGGAAGAGAAGGAAAAACCCTGGTCAAGCCCAGATCTCTGTGCTCAGTCTAGTTCTCTCTGAGCTGGAGAGTCCATCAGGGGAGTTGGAGCGGGACTTACTTATTTTTTCTGTGAGCCAGGACTTACTGAGTGCCTGGCGATGGGGCGGGGAGATGGAATGTTCTCGCAACATCCTCACATCCCAGAGCCAGAGATGAGCCATGTGGAGGAGAGAATGGGATTGCTCACTGCCCTGGGAGAAATGGGAGCAGGAAGGCAGCACTAAATCCTAACTAAATGCTGGTTTGGCATGGTAAGGAAGGATTAGGCCTATTTCTTCCAGAGGTAAATCTTGAACTGGGTTTTTAAGAGGGTTGTTAACCAGGTGGGCACAGGGTAGGGGCAGAGGAATGCCTGCAGGTGTCCTCCAAAAAGCCAGTTCAGCAGGTCTTTGCAGAAACTATGATCCTCATCTTGAGAGACTCTCTTAGTATAGCAGAATTGGGGGGGGGGGGCGTCTGTTTTTGTAAATAAAGTTTTATTAGGACACAGCCATGTCTATTCATTCTCGTTTATATGTGGTTTCTTTCCTGCTACAACCCAGAGTGGCATAGTTGTGGCAGAGACAGTGTGTGTGCCCTGCCAAGCCTCAGATATTTACTCTCTGGTCCTTTGCAGAAAAGGTTTGCCAACCCTTGGCATAACACATTGTTATTCCTTGAAAGTCTTTATGAAAAGGCCCCACACTGTCAGCAACCAGGCTTTAATGGCAGGCCTTCATGGACTTACTGGTTTATTTTACCACCCACTGATTTCTCTTTACCCCACACCACCACACTCCAACTCTGTAGTCTCTAATTCCCATAAATTCTGGCTCTGAATGTCTGGAACTAGAATAGTGCTTGTAGTATGTGAAGGAATGGGGGCATATCTCCCTAAGCATCCCCTTAAATGCCTGATTACCCCGACCCCCAGCTGTCTCAGACCCTAATTATGTTCTTGGAACCTGTGTGCTGATTATTTGCTTGGTAAATGTTGCCACGCAAAAATAGAAACAAAAACAGGCTCAGCAGTCATTGAAAAACATCTCTGTTTTTTTAGTGAAGCATCTGTAAGTGTGTTCTGGAGTTCACTGTCCCCTTTAAGTGTGAGAGAAGGGGCAGGGGTGCTCTGGGGAGATCCACTGCGTCAAGCCTATATTCATTTCAAAAACATGGAGAATGCATTTCCAGAAGATCTGTGCTTTCAAAATACTGCTCCCTTAGATATACTGAGTGTAAGTTGTGTGGAATTACATAGCAAATGCCAAGTTTTTTTTTAAGGTTTGATTTATTTATTTGTGAGAGAACAGAGAGAGAGAGAGAGAGAGAGTGAGTGAGAGGCAGAGACATAGGCAGAGGGAGAAGCAGGCTCCATGCAGGAGCCTGACGTGGGACTCGATCTCGGGACTCCAGGATCACGCCCTGGGCCCAAGGCAGACGCTCAACCACTGAGCCACCCAGGGATCCCAAATACCAACTTTTTAAGCACCTACTAGGGTCTAAGAGCCTGCTGTTGGAAGTGCCAGACCAAGCTTTTTACGAATGTTAACTTGCCGAGTAAGAGCTGGATGAAACAGAGATGCACTTATTTCTGTTTTACAGACAGAGAAGCAGAGGCTCTGACAAGCTAAGTATCTTCCATGTTAACTACTAAATGATACTGCCTGCAATCCGTGATAAGGAGGGTATAGATTTTATGCTCTAGTTATCCAAGTGGTGGGTAGAATGTTCATGAAAACGCTGAGAGGTGAAGAATCTGTTTCAGACTGTCAGAAGAACTAATTTTCATGGACAGGTACAGTTTCTGGTTTAACCCCAGCAGCCACCAATGTCGTTTAAACACCACTGTCAAATGATGCTGTAGTTTGGGATCTAATTTCTCATTAGCACTTTGTATAGAAAACTGTTGGCAATAAGTAATGGTGACATTTTCCAAGCATGCCTGGAAAATATTGTTGGTCCCCAAAGAGAAGCATGTAGGTTTAGAAGTTGTCCCAGTTTCCAGCTGAAATGATCATTCCTAAACATAAGTCCTGAGTGTAACTGTTCCCTTCTTAAAAGCATTCAGTGCTCCGCCGTGCACTTTGCTTGCAGAGTAAAAGTCTTGGGGCAGCCCCAGTGGCCCAGCGGTTTGGTGCGGCCTTGGGCCTGGGGTGTGATCCTGGAGACCTGGGATCGAGTCCCACATCGGGCTCCCTGCATGGAGCCTGCTTCTCCCTCTCTGCCACATGTGTCTCTGCCTCTCTCTCTCTCTCTCTCTCTCTCTCTCTCTCTCTGTGTGTGTGTGTGTGTGTGTGTGTGTCTGTCATGAATAAATAAATAAAATCTTAAAAAGAGTAAAAGTCTTTATCAGGACACTTGCTGGAGGCCTTTCCAGTTTGGGGCCTGCGTGATCTCCTGTCTGACCCCCCCCCCCCCGTACCTCCCACCTCTGCATCCCACTCAGCGTGTCCCTGCATTTGGAGCCTCCCCGGTTCCTTGGACACCATTTCTACCTTGCCCCTTTTGCCTGATGTACTCCTGCTTCATCTTCTCATCTTACAGACGTCACTAGACCCAGGAAGTCTGCTTCGAGCCTAGAGACGGGAGTGGGTGTCTATTTTACTGGTGTTCAGTGGTTTGCTTATTTTTCTGTTGTCCACCACTAAACAGTAAGCGCTTTGATGGCATTCTTTTTACTTTTGACTCTGTCGTCAAAAGGAATAGGAATCCACTTGAGCTAACTATTAGAAGGACATATTTGAAGCAGTAAAGAGATCTTCACAGAAATTTAAGAACCAGGTCCAAAAGAAGCTGCACCTCGCAGACATGTGTGGTGGCTTTCTGCTTCTCTGCACACCGGTTCCGTTTGCCTGTCTTACCCGGCTGCTCAGCTCAAGTACATGTCCTGAAGCTGCTCCTGACCTCAATTTGTCTGCATAGCCTGGCACGGTGGTCCCTCCCAGTCCCGTGGCTTCATTTCCTGGTCTCATTTGTCTGGTTTCTGTTGCCTAGTTGCAGATTTCCATGCAAGCAATCTGGTTGGTGTTGCTCACCCTTCCAAGCTAGGCCACAGGCATCGTAGGTCTCTGGCCATCCAGCAGGCGGGCTGTCTTTGGGTCAGGTCCTCACTGCAGACTGACTTGACCTGTGGCCAGCTGGAGGGGTTCCAGGGGTCCAAGCCTGGTTCCCAGCATAGACTTCCTTTTTCTGTTTCTTTCCCTGCCCCTTGCTTGCAAGGATGTTAGGTTTGTGTTTCACAAACTTGATGGTATCCTCTGTTCTCTTTCATCTTTACAGATATCATTAATGGAGCTCAAGAAAAATGTGTATTGCCTCCTATGGATGGCTACCCCCACTGCGAGGGGAAAATCAAGGTAAGCCAGAAGTAATATCTGTCACTCCCCAGCCATACGATGGCAAGGAAGTCATTTAAGGGGTGCCTCTACCCTGCCAGTTTGGGGCTGTGGCCATGACAACTCGTGTCTGCTTATGCCAACTCCATGGGGTTAGTCAACAATGGCTCTAACTGGTCAGACTGAAAGAGCCCAGGCTGCTTTGGGCGCCTGCTGTGTCTTTGAAGCTGCCTTCCCCTGGCGTTCCCAGACTCCAGCGGGTGATTCTTCAAGGGCCGTTGACAAGGGGCTGCCATTATGTAGGGTCCAGCTTCCCTCTCTCCCAGTCCCCCAGCCCCTGCCATGAGGTCTCCAGATTGTGATTTAAATGTCACATTAGCATTTGCTGCTGAGTAACCAGAGACACTTGGACACTCTTTCACTCTTAACATTTCTTTTTTTTTTTTTTTTTTAATCCACTCTATAGGGCCTGCCCTTAAGGAGACCACTCCCCTGCTCAGTAGTTTTCCGAGATAAGTCTCAGTTCCAATATATGATTAGGGTGGTGAGGCCCAACCCCGGAAACATCCACATGGATCCTGTTTGGGATTCACGCGTGCCAGACGCAGGTTGCACACCTGCATCCACGTTCTCTCTTCCAGGCCCTGTACCAGAGCTCGTGAAATGGTAGCTCTGTGGGGAAGAAGGGGTTTTGCTGCAAGGGTCCCCTTAGGCAGTCGTTCTTCATAAAAGTCCCCTGGCCACTGCTTGTCCTGGGCTTTACAGTCTTGCAGCCTTGCTCTACCCCGAGCACCTCCACTAAGGCCCATCTCAAGCCAGTGTCTCCCTGTGGATCATCTGGGAACTGACTCTGAACCCCAGGCCCCAGTCTGAGCCACGCACCCCTCCTTGGCCTTTGTACCCCTGCGGGCTGCTCATCGATGTCCTTACCGGGTTCCTGTCATTTCAGTGGATGAAGGACATGTGGCGCTCGGATCCCTGCTACGCAGACTACGGAGTGGATGGGTCCACGTGCTCTTTTTTTATTTACCTCAGTGAGGTGAGTCACTTCTTTGGCTTTGGGGTGCGGGAAGATGTGGTTGATCAGTCTTGCAACAAAGCCTGGAATCTGAAGAGTTTAGAGGCGTGTGTTGTTTCTATGTAGCAGATACGTGGCTCCCTTCTTCATTACTTTCCCCTGGCCCTAAATAGGACAATTTTTTTCTTTTTTCCCTTGAGGGGAAAAAAAACAAGTGGATGGAGCTATTTACGTTTTCTTCCCCCGATTAAAAAAAAAAAAAAAAAAGATCTAGTGAAATACATGTAACATAAAATTTGCCATCGTGACCATTAAGTGCACAGGTGAGTGGGAATCCACGACATTGGTGTTGCTCTACAACCCTCACCAGCATCCAACTCCTGAACACTTCATCTTGCAAACCTGAGACTCTGCCCAGTGAACTGTGACTCCTCATTCCCCCACTTCCTCCAGCCCCTGAAAAAACAACCATTCTGATTTTTCTCCCTGATTTTGACTACTCTCACTATTTACATATGTATAATTTATACAGTATTTGCCTTTTGGTGACTGCCTTATTTCAGTTAGCATGATCCATCCATGTTTCAGCATGTGTCGGAATCCCCTTCCCTTTCAGGGCTCAGTAGTATTCCATCGTATTATCTGCCACAGTTTGCTTATCCACTCACTGTTGATGGGATGCTTGGGTTGCTTCCATCTTGTGGCTATTGTGAATAATGCCTCTATGAACATAGATGTGCACAGAACTCTTTGAGAGCGTTCGGTTCCTTTGGTGCACCCGGAAGTGGAGTGGCTGAATCATATGGTAATTGTTTTTTTATTTTTCTGAGGAACCACCAAACTTCTCCAAAGTGATGGCTCCGTTTTACCTTCCTACCAGCAATGCATAAGGGTTCTAGTTTCTCCACATCCTTGTCAACACTTGTTTTCTGTTTTGTCCTCGTAGCCATGCCAATGGGTGCAAAATGCTATCTCATTGTGGTTTTGCTTGGTATTTTCTTAATAATCAGTGATATCAAGCATCTTTTTCTTTTTTTTTTCAAGCATATTTTCATGTGTTTCTTGGCTGAGTTACCTATTTGCTTATAAGCTGAGTTATTAACTTTTACTCTTTTTTAAAAAAAAATCTTTTTTAACTGAGCTTTATTTTCATTTCTATCCTGAAGTTTAAATAGCAGATTTTTTTTTAAGGGTAGCAGGACATTCTATAGGCCACATGGAATTAGCTTGTTATGTACTTTGATGATTTTTGTTTCACCTTGAAGAAAATTGAGGGCATGGGGTAGAGTTAAGACTATCTAGGACAAGTACGGGGGAAGAACTGAATAGGGAATCAGAAGCTGGCTTTACCTTTATGGACAAAAGCAGCCCTATGGGCTTGTGAAATGGGTGCTGGCTGATTTCAGAGAGCGTACACTTTGGTGTGCTGTTGCTGTTTGACCAGTAGTTAATAACAGCTCCCTGGTGCTACCTTGCAGGAAAGAGAATGTCTCCATTTTGAGGCTAATGACATACTTTTACCATAATTTTTCATGTGAGACTCAGGCGCCTCTCCTCTCTGTCAGAAGGTGATAGGACAGAGATGGGGGATGGAGACCAAACCAGTATTGCCACAGGGCATGCGGCCCCAAATTCTGTGGGGGTCTGTCCCTTTCTTTTACATTTATGTCTCTCTTCTTTTTAAGAGCCACTTACACTTTTTTTTTTTTTTTTTTAAGCATGGTTGCACCATGGCCACCCCATAGCCATCATGAGAGGCCTCAGAGCTAATGATAGTTAAAATATCTCTTGGAAATTCAAACCACAGGTTGTTGGGTGTGTGATGCTCCTTATTAGCAGGTTGCTGACAAATTAATTCTGTAGCATTTATGTGAGTGTGTTTTTGGCCGGGGTGGCCTGTGGCCCACCTTCTGATTTCCTTCTCCAGGAGAGTAAGCCCTGGGGCCCCGGGTGAACCTACTGCTCTCCAGTGAGAAGTCAATTAGAAGCACCTTTCCTGCCCTGAGGAAAAGGTTCCTCATTCGGTTTAATTTTCAAAAGTTTCCTTCCCCTTTCCATTTGATAGAATTTAGCCAGAGTCCAACTGTGCTCCCTGATTGACAAGCTGGGCCAATTTCACGCCTTCTTGAGAGTTTGCATGTTGGCAGTACCGCTGAGGTACAGGGAGAGAGTTACATTCCACTCCAGCCTTCTTTCCGTCTCCCGAGCCAGAGCCAGGAAGGTGTGGGAGAACAATCCAGATGGGAAGGGACCGCGATTAGTTGTGACCTAGTTCCCTTCCTTTGAAGCTGCCGCCCAACCCCACTCACAGGGGAGGAAGGATGTAGCTGAGATGAGAACCCGGAGCCCCCTGTGAGTGTGAGACAGACGTGGCGGTGGAAGGGTCTGATGGATCACACGCTCTTACCACTGGAGCCAGGGGATTTCATTTCAGAACCTGTGATTATTTTTTCCTCTTTCCAAGGTGTGGAATGGTGCTTGCTTTGCCTTTTCCTTGGGCTTTTCTTTTTGTTCAGCTGAATGAATTCAGTTCAGTGGTCACTTACTGAACATCTGTTATATTCACTGGAAGTCACCAGTGGGTGAGATCCCCTTTTCTTGGCACCATGATGTGCACTCATGACGAGCCCTAATGGAAAAGGAAGGATGGAGGCAGGTAGCAGAGCCAGAACAGGGTAGAACAGTTTCCCTGCGGACAGAATTAGGAACTTCTTTTTTAGTTTATTTTTTAAATTTTTTTAAAAGATTTATTTATTCATGAGAGACACACACAGAGAAAGAGAGAGAGAGAGAGAGAGAGAGAGAGAGAGAGAGAGAGAGAGAGAGAGAGAGAGGCAGATACACAGACTAAGGGAGGCAGATACACTTCCATGCAGGAAGCCCGATGTGGGACTTGATCCCGGGACTCCAGGACCATGCTCTGGGCAGAAGGCAGGCGCTCAACCACTGAGCCACCCAGGTGTCTGTCTCTCTTTTTTAGTTTAAATCTGAAAATAAGCTTGAAACTCTGGCCTTTAAAAAAAAATTGCATTTAGGGGCACCTGGTTGGCCCAGTCTGGTTAAGTGTCAACCTTCAGCTAAGGTCATGATCCCAGGACTCTATGTTGGGCTCCCTGGTCCGCAAGGGATCTGCTTCCTCTCCTTCTCCCTCTCTCCACACCCCTCCACCCCCCCCCCCAACTCATGCCCTGTCTCTCTCGCTTACTCTCTAAATAAAATATTTTTTAAAAAAATTTGCATTCTATCGCAGCATCTCAATAGGTATGCTGTAAGAGCTGGATGAAAATGTCACCACTGTGGCCTCTTGGATGGGAAGTACCACCTCAGAGACTCATCCCTGAGGTCACACTGTTGGTGATGCTTTCTAAACACTGTACTTGTGGACAAGTCACTTCCTTCTTGTTCTTCCTTTATAAAATAAGAGTTTTAACTTTGTTTTTAAAGGATCCTGCTGTGCGGATTCCTGAGTCTATATTCTTAGAATAGAGCCTGGCGGATAAATGACACCCATTAAACACAATTGACACCTTTATGGTTTTTGATGTCACTATTTGAGGACCGTTATTTGATGTGGGACCGTGATTTTGTTTTACAATTAGAAGCAATTTCTGGTTCTAACTGTAATCTACTTTTGATTTCTGGTGGTGTACAGATGCAGCTGCTCTCTTTGACTTCTTTTCTCTGCTTTTGACACTTCTGTTTGCATTGGAACCATGAGCTGGATCTGTGGAGCAGCAGTGCATCCGTGCCATTGTTAATTTGAAATTACCGGAGGCGATTTTTAAAAGCCAATTAATTTTCTGCTAGTATTTTTTAAGATCCTGGAGAGCATCTCTGTCTTCATAGTGCTGTTTTTGGTCTAGGTTTTTATTTTATTTTGTTTTGTTTTGTTTTCCCCCTTTCGCTTTTTCTTAAAAACCTTCCTCCTTTTGTTACTTGATTTAACTGTGTATCCTATGCCAGGTTTCTCTTGCCCCTGGGAAAACATCTAAGAGAGACATCTTCATCTGATTTGTTCAACTTGATCAACAGATAGGCCACTTTTATTCTTTTCTTAATCCTAATCAAAGAGCCAGTTCTGGTTTCCATTTTTTATTTAACCTCAGGACTTAGAAGCAAGCAAGCAAACAAACAAAAAGCCACAAAGTAACTCTGGTCAGTCACCAGTTGAATCCAGGGATTGAGATTTAGCCCAGTCCTAGGGGATGGCACTCTGCTTTCATTTGTCTTTCCCTCCATTGTCTCAGTGTGCCAACTTCCACTGAATTTCAGGGTTATGAGCTTCTGCTTGTGCCCTCAACCAACTTGCAGTCTACACGTCTTTCTTGGTAAATCCCAGAAATTGCAGCCAGCAGTATGATACCCAAGGATGCTCGCGGTATGTCTGACAGTAGACCCGGGACTGGATATGGTATGCGTCCAGGCATTGCCCCTGTTGGGTGGAAGACAGTAAGAGAAGAATGACACATTATTGAGCCCACCTGTATGCCAAACACCTCAAATACACCGTCTCATTTACTGCCCCACCCATGCACCCCCAACTCTGAGTAATAGCCCCATCAAAGAGGCTCAGAGAAGTTAAGTGCTTAGTGCTTCTGTACTTTGCATTACTGTTGCCCCTTCATGTCAAAGAAAAACTGAACTGAGGTGAGTAGATGATTTATTGCCTTTAACTTTGCATTCAGTTCTGTGCTCCAAAGCTATTGTGTTTGAAATATGGCTCTAATTTAGCTAGTTTGCATTAATGGATCCTCACTGCTAGTTTTCTAATACTTGAAGTTTTGATACCCTCCCCCAACAAAGAGAAACAGCACTGATTCTTCTGGGGCCCGAACTCATGAAAGCCAGGTGTGCAGCCTTTCCAGGTGGTGGGAGTGAATGAATGATTCATTAGGCAGCCTTGCATTTCCAGATCATTGGGCAGTTTATTTTCTGTATCTTTTTTTTGCGAGCCATGTAACTACTCCCGTTATAGAGACAAGAACTCTATAAAGTAATTACTCTGTCATTGTTTCAGGTAT